GTTTTGGGGTTTTTTTGAGGGGTTTTCGTGGGGGGATTTTTCGGGTAATTTTGGGAGACTTGGGTTTTTTTGGGGGGTTTTTTTGGGGTTTTTTTGGGGTTTTTTTGGGGGGGTGTTTTGGGGGCTTTTTGGGGTGGTTTTGGTTTTTTTTTGTTTTTTTTTGGTTTTGGGGTTTTTTGGGGTAATTTTGGGGCTGGTTTTGGGGGTTTTTTGGGTTTTTATTGGGGTGATTTTGGGGGGGTTTGGGGCTGGTTTGGGGGTTTTTTGGGGGTGTTTTTGGGGTTAATTTTGGGTTTTTTTGGGTTTTTTTTGTTTTTTGGGGGAGGGGTTGGGATTTTTTGGGGGGTTTTTTGTTTTTTTTTTTTGGGTTTTTTGGTGATTTTTGAGGTGGATTTGGGGGGGATTTTGTGGGGTTTTGGGGTTTTTTTGTGGCTGGTTTTGGGGTGGTTTTGGGGTTATTTTGGGGCTGTTCTGGGGCTGGTTTTGGGGTGGTTTTGGGAGTGAATTTGGGGTGATTTTGGGGCTGGTTTTGGGGTGGTTTGGGGGTTATTTTGGGGTTGTTCTGGGGCTGGTTTTGGGAGTGATTTTGTGATAATTTTTGAGTGAATTTGGGGCTGTTTTTGAAGCGGTTTTGGGGTGAATTTTGGGATGATTTTTGAGAGATTTTGGGGCTGGTTTTGGGAGGATTTTGGGGGTGATTTGGGGTTTTTTTCCGTCATTTTGGGGAGGGGTTTGGGGCATTTTCTGTGATTTTGGGGCTGTTTTGGGGGGTGTTTTGGGGGGGTTTTGGGGGGATTTGGGGGCTGTTTTTGGGGTGGTTTTGGGGGTTATTTTGGGGTTGGTTTTGGAGCAGTTTTGGGGCTGGTTTTGGGGCTGGTTTGGGTCTGATTTTTGGTTGGGTTTGGGTCTGCTTTTGGGGCGATTTTTGATCCATTTTGGGGCTGGTTTTGGTGTGATTTTTGGGCTGGTTTGGGAGGTGTTTTTGGGGTGTTTTTGGGGCTATTTTTGGGCGATTCTGGAGCATTTCTGGGTCTGATTTGGAGCAGTTTTCGGGGTGATTTTTGGAGTGGTTTTGAGGGTGTTTTGGGTCTGATTTTGGGGTGGTTTTGGGCAATTTTGAAGTGGTTTTGGGGGTGGTTTTGGGGATGGTTTTGGGGCTATTTCGGCGTGATTTTGGGTCCAATTTTGGATTGTTTTTGGGTCTGTTTTTGGGGCAATTTTTGGGCTGTTTTGGGTCTGTTTTGGGTCCAATTTTGGATTGTTTTGGGGCAATTTTTGGGCTGTTTTGGGTCTGATTTTGGGTCTGTTTTCACGATGATTTTGGGGCTATTTTGGGTCTGATTTTGGGGCCGCTTTGAGTCTGATTTTGGGTCTGATTTTTGATTGGTTTTGGGTCTGGTTTTGGGGCAATTTTGGAGCATTTTTGGGTCTGATTTTGGGTCTGGTTTTGGGTCTGGTTTTGGGTCTGATTTTGGGTCTCTTTTTGGGCAACTTTGAAGTGGTCGTGGGGGTGTTTTTGGGGCTATTTTGGGGGTGATTTTGGAGCAGTTTTGGGGTGGTTTTGGGTCTGATTTTGAGACTATTTTGGGGGTGATTTTGGGGCGATTTTGGAGCAGTTTTGGTTCTAATTTTGGGGCTGTTTTGGGGTCAGTTTTGGGGGGTTTGGGGTCGGTCTTGGGGTGATTTTGGGGCTGGTTTGGGGCTTTTTTTTGGGGCAATTTTAGAGTGGTTTTGGGGCTGTTTTCAGGGCAGTTATGGGGCTGTTTTGGGTCTGATTTTGGGGCTGTTTTTGGGTAATTTCGGGGCAGTTTTGGGGCCGTTTGAAAGGGCGACACCCCCAAAAAGTGGGGGAGGGACCCCCCAAATTCCCCTAAACCCCCCAAATCCCCTAAAATGCCCCTTTTCCCCCCAGGACCGGGCCCTGATCCGTCGGCTGGACCTGATTTGCCGCGCGGTGCTGACGGACGGTCCCCACCCCCCCCCACGAGGATTTTGGGGGGGCCCTGGGGGGGCTCCCCGGCCCCTCCCCCACCCCCCCTCCCCCTCCCCCTCCCCCCTCCTCCTTCCAGC